CCCCAAAACCCCAAAACCCCAAAACCCCAAAACCCCATAAAAATTCTGAATTATTGAATAGATTAGAGCGAATTATGCAGATTTTAATATCCTCGATTTGTTCTTGTACCATAGTTGCTTGTACTTCCGTATTGAGATCTATGATCTCTATTCAAGCTCTCATTGTTACTGAAGAAATCATATTCCATTGGGCCAGATGGGACACCTCTTGGTCTCTTGTTCACAATATGTGGAGCATCACGGTCTCTTTCAAGTCCAGCTGTCTTTCTTCCATAATGTCTTTTTCTTCTCCCTATTATTGTAGCTCAGCAGAGCAAGGCTGCTATTAAGAGGATGAATAGTAGCAGGAGGCCTATGATCCACGGCCAGAAAGATGTTCCAGACCCAGTACCAGTGAATACATAATCACATTCACTGTTATATTCATTGTAGTTTTGTCCATTCTGGGCCACTGAGACTGTGACAACTTCTCTATCAAGATCTTCTGGTTTCTTGTGGATATTTGGGGTATTGCATTTCACGGTATTGGCATCAACAATAATTCCAGGTGTTTCACCGTATTTTCCGAACTTACAATGGATTCCATAGTCTGAGTACTTAGATCCCGCTACAGGAATCGGTTGGATAAATTCTTGTTCTTTGTCAGAATAGAGGAATACCTCATTAATTTGTCCTACTTCAGACTCATTTGGTGTACAGCTTGTGATCGTTGGATCGTCATAGAACCTGAATCTATGAGCACTTGTAGTCCATGGTTCATATTCTTCACCATTCATTGCGACTGAGAAGGGTACTGAGAAAGGTAGTGAGGCCTGTTTAGGAACCTCATACCCTCCTGGAGATTGACAGACCATCTTTGTATCTGAAATAACCTTTCCTGAAGTTTTAGCATAGCTTCCTGGAACTCCAAATCTACATTTTGGGTTAGAGGCACCTTTGAATCCTGAGCCTGAAACAGTGATATCTGTTCCACCAGCAATTGGACCACTGTTTGGAGTCAGACTTTTAATTCCATAAGGAGTATAATAAGTATACTTATTGACTGGAGTCCAACTAGCATTATTCAGCGAGATCTGAGCTGGCAGAGGCTTGCTGTCTTCACTTAGAGAAAGCTCATCAAGCTTGCATTCCATATTCTTGGAGTCCAGGACTGTAGCTTTTCCATAAGATTCTCCTACTTTGCAGTAAGCCTCTGAGAGAGGGAAGTCATCTCTGAAGTTATCACCGTAGAAATGTATTTTTCCATGGCCCACATTTGGTCCTTGAGTTGGGTAAATACTGCTCACTGTTGGCTGCTTAAAATACTGGAAGCCTCCAGAGAAGGAATGATAATCCTCTCCATTCACATTCACTGCGAAAGGAACATTTCCAAAGTAATCTTTTCCATGCTGAGAAGGAAGCATCGGACAATGAATTTCATCCCATGAGATCTTGCTTGGTTGGTATTCTTGATTGTCAAGCTTGCACTTTATTTTTCCATCATCCTTGAATCCTTGTCCTCTGATTTTGATGTTATCATTGCTTCCTTCAGATGGTCCTGATCTTGGATCAGCTGTGATAATTTTGTAATATCTGAACTGTTGATTGCTATTAGTATAGTCTACACCATTGAAGGAAACGTCTAAATTGACTACATCAACATTTCCAAAGCCTCCTGGGGATGGACATAGGACTGTAGATTGGTCTAAATATTTTGCTGAGACAGTCTTCGGAGGCACATCTTTATTCAGTGGAGTGAATTTACACACAAATTCATTTGGATCACTTAAATCAGAGAACTGTTCTCCTTCCATCTTAATGGTAGTTCCACCACTACTTGGTCCAGATGTAGGATTGATGCTCTTGATTTTAGAATTCTTATAATAATGGAAGAACTTTCCTGTGTCCATAAAATCTTCATTGTTCAGAGCAACTTTGATTGGGTATTTCTTGTCAATACTATCTCCTGGAGGTGCAGGGCAGATAATTCTTACAGAACTCTCATACCTAGCTTTGACAATTTTGTCCCCAATTTGACAGTGTGGGATAACTCCTTTGTCTGGATTGTACTGGAAGTCAGCTCCCTCTACAACTATCTCAGTACCTCCTTCTATAGGACCTCCATGAGGATGAATATTTTTGACTTCTGGCTGCTTATAAAAGAATGACTCTGCAAATGAAATTGTATTAGTGTATTTAGCTAACTCTGGAGGCATGTTAGAGAACACGTCTTCCTTTGAATCTAATTCCCAGTATACTGAGCCTTCGTAGTTATTTTGTGGGTGAGATATCTTTTGAGAGTTCATTGATAAAGTCTCATACACTCTCTTCTTGTCACTGTTCTTTTCAAATGTCTGAGTGAGTATTTCAGTAGCGCTTGACAGATCTTTGGATTTCATCAAATTATTTCCTAAGAATCCTTGGCTTCTCCTTTGTTCTAGAATTTCTTGAGTATTCACATTTAATTTTCCAATAGTATCTTTCTTAGGGTCAAAACCTCTTCCAAGGAGGTGGATAGCTGGACCTCCTCTACTGTATCTGTTGAAATTATCATTTTCATCAGTGAATGTGAAGTCAAAGTTACCAAAATAATCAACTCCATTCGCAGTGATATCTACCTTGACATCTTCGTAAGTTCTACCTCCCAAAGGCCAGACTGGCGTACTTCATTGGATGTTGTTTGGAGGAGCTCCTGATTTATAAGGGTAAGCTATAGGGTGTCCATGAGTTTTTCTTTCCTCTTTCAAGTTCAGTGATCTAAACCTGCACTCGAAATCAGCATTTTCCATGAAAATCTCCTCATTATTTTGATTGAGCTTGAAATCGGTCTCTATCATTAATGGAGTTTGTGTGCCAGCAGGAGCTGTATCTGGTATAACATCTTTGAATTCAGGGTCTTCATAGTAATGTATCTTAATTTTGTTATTTGTAAACTTATCATTAAACACTGAAACTTCTACATTGACTGGATCAGTGTCCCTAACTCTGTTTCCATTTCCATCTATGAACATGTTGAATGGAAGAGTTGAAGCTACTATTTTGTTTTTATCCACAAATCCAGCATCAACTACTCATTTGTTTCTATTCTTATTGCAGTAGTAGCTTCCACGGTCATTGTCATAGAGAACCTTGAGGCCACCAGCATTGGTTGAGTCTACGAAACCAAACCCACTGATTTCTACTTTAGTGGTTCCAGATTTACTGACCAGCCTCGGTTCGACTCTGAGTACGAAAGGATCATAGAATCCAAAGTGGACCTTATTATTGGAGTAATCCTTGCCATTCATTGATACTTCAACATCTAGAACATCTGGCTGAGGGTAGTCTGGGATTGGGCACTTTATCAGATTTGAAGACTGCCTGTATCCTTTGATCACAATAGAATTGGGATCAGTGCCAAATTTACATGTTACATCATTACAGTTGTTATTTGGACAATCGAAGCTGTTGCCATGAACGTCTATGGTCATATCATTCGAGCGTCTGATTTCTCCAAATTCAGGATTAATGTGAGTTACGAATGGAGATGACATATATTTAAATGAAAATCCTTTGTTCTTCTGATAAAGCTCATAAAACTGATGATCGTTTAGAGAAAGAGATATAATTCCCTCAGTTCCAGGTGGAGCTGGAGGTGCTTTCCATCTTATTAAATCATTCTCGACAAAATCAGCTTTCGTACTAGGTCCAAGAGGTCTTCCAGATTTAGCATCAAGCATTCTGACATATACAGGGGAATCGATGTATGTTCCATTTTCATACTTTGTAGGCTGGAATCCGTGCCCTCTTATTTTGACTTCTGTCCCTCCGTTAGAAAGTCCTTCTTCTGGATCAAAGTCATAGATAATTGGGTTGTCATAATAATGGAAGGCGTGTTCTGAATTATCTTTACCCTGACTCTTTGACTGTGTGAATTGTTGACCGTTAGGCCCAACACCGACAACAGCAGCATGGGAGCCGCGAACCGGCGGGGATTTCACTGTAATTTCATTAGGAGTAATAGACGTTGGCCTCGCATAAGTGTTGCCAAACCTAACAGTCATATTACAGGCATTTCTATCAAATCCATGACCTTTGATCTTCATTTGTGTACCTCCTTGTAAGGGGCCAAGAATAGGGTCGATGGACTGAATCTCAGGTTCTCTGTAATAATTGAATCTTTGAGGAGGGCCTCCATTCAGAGTTCCATCGAGAGTCACTTCTACATAGTAGAATTGAGGCTCTCTTGGAGCACCCTTGGGAATTTCAGGAGCAGAGGGAGTGTCACACTTGATAATATCATGCTCCATTACAGTTGCATTCGTGTGAATAGTCCTGTTGAATACACAGTGAGCATTTCCGATACCCAGGTTGATAAAGTTCTGACCATAGACTGTGAGCTGGGTGTATCCTGCCTCTGGACCACATGTTGGCTCAATTCTAGACAAAGTTGGCTCTTTGTAATACAAAAATTTAGTTTGGCCAGATGACCACTCATCTTGATCAAAAGCAACACTGAGAGGGATAAATTCTGATCTACCGTTTGGAGGGGAAATACAGCTAACCTTATTGGAAGAGATATATTGTCCTTGTGAAATATGATCTCCGAATTTGCATTTAAAAGGAACTCCTTCCTTAAAATTAGATCCAAAAAGAGTGATGTTAGTCCCACCTTCTGTGGGTCCTTGCCTTGGCTCAATATCGAACACATATGGAGGCTTGTAATAGCTATAAATCTCTCCATTATTGGTGAATTGCTGATTGTTTAATGTCACTTCAACCTTAGACTGTCTTCTCTCGAATGAAGGAGGAGCTGTGCAGCTAATTTTAGTTGACTCATGAACTGTTGCAGGCATTAATTTGAGCCCGTCAAATTTACAAAATGTATCATTGTGGTTATTAATCTCATATAATCTGAAGGGATCGAAGTTGTTTCCATTGACAATGATCTCATTACCTCCATCATCGGGCCCTCTTGTTGGTGAGATGCTTTGAATCGAAGGCTGGCTATAATACCAGTAATCTATTCTATCTTTAGTATTTTGCTGCCCATTCAAAGTGACTACAAATGGAATTCCTTTTTCAACCAGATCTGAAGAAGGAGAGGTACATTGCATATGGTTAGAGTCAATATAGACAGCAGGGACTGTGACAGATCCGAAACCACATCTTGTAAAATCTTCGAAGTTCAAGAAATTTTCTCCCCAAACGTCTACTTTAGTTCCACCATCTTTGATCCCATATCTGGGATAAATAGAGTATACTTTCGGGTCTTTGTAATACCTATATCCAACCGAATTGATGACATCTGAGAAATCACCTGTTAGAGAAATAGTAAAAGGAACAATCTCAGCCTTAAAACCAGGTGGAGCATTCTCTCATTGCAAGCAGGTATCTGTTCTTGCAGATACTGGTGGTTCCATCTCCCACACTTTTAGAGGCTCTGGTGTACATCTTACAAAGGATGCCTCAACGACTTTATCATTTCTTCCAAATTTGCATTTTGGATCTGGATATTTACTCTCTACCAGCCCTAGATCTGTAGCTCTCACTAGAACCCTGGTGTTTCCTGAGAGAGGGCCTGAGTTAGGCTCAATACCCAATAGCTCTATCTTATGGGTATTATCAGCTACTACCAGGGCTAAAACCAATGCCAGGACTATAAGCAGCCTCATTAGATATAATTTAAATATTGAATAAAATTCAAAATTTATGAAGAAAAAAGGGGTTTTGGGGTTTTGGGGTTTTGGGGTTTTGGGGTTTTGGGG